GGCATGCAAACAAACCGTCAATGCCACCACATGGCTGTGTAAGAACGCGGTTCATCTGCAAACAAGGAAGGGTGTCTGCTCAGCTGATCAGCGGCACTTAGATACGGCAGGCCAATAATAACAGGCATGGGACACGCAGGTGTGCAAACGGGCACCCCCGGGCAGCCACGCAGTGGTATTGGCACATGGCTGGCATGTGAACAGATCGACCAGCAGGTTGGTGGAGCCAGGAGATGGCTGGCATGTGAAAAGGCGTGCTGAGGCCACCTTGTGGCAGTTCTGGGGCACAGCATGCCTGTGAAAAGGAGCGCCAAGGCCACTAAGTGGTGGTGCCAGGTCAAGGCAGGCATAAGAAGAGAAGAAGAGCTCAGCCCATTCCTTTGCAACATTGAAGCAAGACAGGGTCACAACGTAGCAGCCCTAAGACAGGACAGGTATGCAATCAGGCATCCCCAGGCTCTGAGACACAGCAAGGGCGTGGAGAGGCTGGCACGCACAGGCTTTCCCGTAGCAGTGCTACTAGAAAACGGGGACGCATGCAATCAGGCAGGCCGGTGCTGGGACATGGCAGGCATGCACCTAGGCGAGCCCACACTACCACGTGTCAGTACAGTGACAAGGTTTGTATGTGAACTGGTGCGTCCGGTCTTTCATGTGGTGATCCTGAGACCGGGGATACTGCCTGTCGGATATGCAAACTTGCATTCCCATGCCACCAAATGGCAGCGTGGGGACATAGCCAGTGTGCCAACATGTGTGCCCAAGTTGCCAAATGATGGTTCTGGGAAACAGGAGACTTATAAACAAGTGTGCCCAGGCAGACTGCCACACGGTGTTGTTGTAACATGGCGGGTATGTACACAAACGTTCCCAGGCCCCCAGCAGCACTGAGATACGGCAAGTGTGTAAACAGGTGCGCACGGGTGACCCTGGGACATGGCAAGTGTTCTGACAGGTGTGCGAACCTGATATTTGCAGGTTTCTCATTCAGATGGTTTCACCTCTGCCAAACAAGACTGGCTGCCTATGCAGATATCGACGGTGCACGTGTCTCCAGACACTGCGCTTCTCAGAGGAGATCGCGGCAGGAGCCACAAGTTCAGTGTTGGCTCCGTCCACTGTCTCAGGTCTGAGGCAGGTGTGTTTTCTTATTCCTACATAGCTGGATGTTTCCCAAGGAAGTCTGGCCACCTTAATTATCGGTAAAGCTTGCTGTTTTCGTTTCCCTTCTTTGGCTCTCCACTTTTGGAGCTTTTCAATCTCATATAAAGGCTCCAACTTTGGCGCTCTGAACCACCAGGAGTCGGATGTACTGGGTCCTCGGCCATCTCCTTTGCAGCTTCTGTGTGGTAGGTCATGAACTGGGGCAGATCGCTTAGGACACACGGTCCAATGACAGACTCGAAGTGATGAGGCGGAACGCCCTGCTGAAGATGCCAGCCAAGTTTTCCAGTTTCCTCGGCTATCCCAGGAATCCCGGAAGTTTCCTAGTGCTTTTTCTTCCTTCTTAACCATGTCTCTGACTCTGATTTCTCAGCGGGAATGCAATGAGTCCCTTCTCCATTGTTAACAGACGCAGGCCTCTTCCAGTCTGGAGAAACATTTTAGCGGGGGATTCCACATGGTTCTGTATCGTTCCTAACACTTCAAACATCTGTTCCTTGTCCTTTGTAGCCTGGTTAGACAGATGATGCACTATACTTCTAAACAGTGTTCTCCCAGCATCCAGTCCTGTATCAGCTGTAGATCCCACTCCCGCTGCTAAGGGCCTGAGAATAGGAGCTCTCTTTATCCTGCCTGCAGGGGCCACCCAAGGGCAACATGAGCTGTATATAAACTAGAGTCGAGAGCCCATCCATTTCGGGGGGAGGCATTGGTAGGTCCATGTTCCACTGAGTTAAAGGAGGCCATCCGCGGCCAGCTTTCAACAAGAAACACCTTGATTCAGCTTCTCTTCGCCTGGGGGCTTGATTGCATAGCTCTTACTTTAACAGTCCCATAATGAATGTTTCCCTCAAGGGTTCTATGACACCACAGGGCCTTAATGGTAGTGTAATCTTTTCCAACTTGGAGTCCTGTGGCCCACTTGCCTTCAGTGGGAAGATCCCACATGTTTAGGCATATAAAAGGTCCTGGGAAGCAGACGCAGACATCCACAGCTAAACGCTGAGCCTAACTAACTCCCGGAATCCAGTTGCAGAGAGGCGTGGGCACGGCCCGTTTTGCCACGCCTCACTGCTACCGCATGGCGGCCTGGCACCCATGTTTGCGGTTCCAGCTCTGCTACTTCCCTATCTGCGCTGTTACATGATGGTATGGGCACGACTGCTCACATGCTTTCCGTGTCCCCGGGGCCAAGAGATGGGAGCCTATTGGAACATAGGCTGTGTTCCAGAGCTGCCAGATGGTAGCCTGGGAATGCCTGCTTTACGCGTGTCACGGCGGAGCACCACCAAACGCACTGGGCTGGCATGCCTCTTTCCATGTGACAACATCTGTTTATATGCCTGCCATGGCCCATGCTAATTGGTGGCCTGGGCATGCCTGGTTGAACACCCACTGTAGCCCAGGGCTCTGGGGATACCTGTTTACGCGCCTGCACTGTCCCAACGCCATCACAGGCTGTTACCGCCATGCCTGTTCATGAGCCACGTCCATTGCTGCTACTCGGAGCCCTTGACATGCTTGTTTGCATGCTTGTGTCCCAGCGTAACCACTCATCAGCCAGGGTAGTCTTGCCAGCCGCTGTCACCAAGCGGTGGCCCTGGGGGATGGCACGGGTGTGAACAGATGTGGTGGTCCTAAACCTCGCAGACGCGTGAGCAGGAGCGTCTCTGCAAAGCAGCAGTGGACGCAAACAGCCACGTGTACGACACCAAATGGTGGCAAACAGGCCTGCCCATGCCACCACATGTCGGGGAATTTAAGCACCTGTCCCTTACAGCTCCCTTCCTCCCCACCCAGCTGTAGCACTCCCGTGCTCTCAAGGTTAAGCAAACAAGGTGTTCTCAGAACTTTCTGGTGGGCAGTGCCCATGCCTGGCCCCCAGGTGTGTTGTTTTTGTTGATATTGTTGTTTTGTTTTGTTTCTTGGCTTTTTGTTTGATTGGTTGGTCCACCCCTTCTCCCTTGGTTTTTCGAGACAGGGTTTCTCTGTGTCGCTTTGGAGCCTGTCCTGGGACTCACTCTGTAGACCAGGCTGGCCTCAAACTCACAGAGATCCACCTGCCTCTGCCTCCTGATTGAAGGTGTGCGCCACCAACACCCGGCTAACAACACATGCTTTCTTGAAATTCAAGGGCCTTGTACACCTCTTAGGAGTCCAGGGTGTGTGGCATGCAGAGATACTCCTTCTATCTGGCCCCTCCCACCACCAAGAAAGAAGAGCAACATTTAGTTGTCCTGTCTGGATTCTAGAGACAGAACATTTCCCACTTGGGTGTGTTTTTCTGTCCCATATACAACAGGAAGATGCTAACTTTGAGTGGGGTCTGGGACAGGAGAAGGCTCTTCAGGTCAAGGCTGCTGTGCAGACGGCTCTCCCCCTTGGACCACACAATCCAGAAGACCCAATGGTACTCGAGGTGTCGGTGGCAGACAGGGATGTCGTTTGGAGCCTTGGGTGAATCGCAGAAGAGACCTTAGGATTTTGGAGCAAGGCTCTACCGTCATCCACAGATAACTATTCTCCCTTTGCGAGACATCTCATGGCCAGCTATGGGGCCTTGGTGGAAAGTGAACATTTGATAGTGGGTCACCAAGTTGCCACGGGATGTGGGCTGCCCATCATGAGCTGGGTGTTATCTGATCCACCAAGTCACTGCACAGCAGCAACCCATTGTCAAATGGGAGCGGTATTTGCATCATTGGACCTGAGCAGGCCCTGAAGTCACAAGCAAGTTACATGAAGAAGTTTCCCAAATGCCTGCATTTCCTACTCCTGCTTACAACACTGTCTGCTGCCCAAGAATGCACCTACAGTATCATGGAGTCTGCCCTGTGACTGGCTGACTGAGAAAGAGAAGACTGGGCGCCCAGTTTGCTGATGGTACCTACACGTTATGCAGGTACCATCTGGAAGAGACCAGCTGCAGCACCACAACCCCTTCTGAAAGACACCAGCAATGGGAAATCTTCACAGAGAAATGGTCAGATGCGTGTCGTTTCCAAGTGGAAAAAGGATGTGAAGACACTTATGTTCCGCGTGAATACACATCAAAAGGTGACTCCGGCTGAGGAGTTCAGTAAGCAAGTAAATAGGATGGCCCACTCTGTGACAGTCATTCCTGCCGTTGGCCGATGGGTCCGTGATCAAAGCGGCCATGGCGACAGCGATGGGGGAGGAGGTCTTGCCTAGGCTTCACAACATGACTGCCTCTCACGAAGGCTGACCTGGCTACAGATGCTGCTAAGTGCCAGATCTTCCAACAGCAGAGAGAGCCTCTGATGTGCCACCATTCCCCAGGGTGACCAGCCAGCACCCTGGTGGCAGTTGACTACATGGGACCACTTCCTCCACGGAAAGGACTTTGTCCTTACCACAGTAGGTACTTATTCTGGCTATGGATTTGCCATGCTTCTGCTGAAACCGCCATGCATGGATTTGCAGAATGTTGTACCCACCATCACTGCATCCCACACAGTATTTCTGACCACGGAACTCACTGTACAGCCAGAGGAGTTTGACAGTTGGCTCATGATCATGAAATCCACCGGTCTTGCCATTATCCTGAAGCAACTGGCCTGATACGAAGATAGAATGGCCCTTTGAAGACACAGTTTCGGGGCTGATTGGGTGGCATTAGCCTGGAGGACTGAGGCAGGGTTCTCCAGAAGGTGGTATATGCTTTGAATCAGCATCTAATATATGGTACAACTTCTCCCATACTGTAGTCTGTAAGTTATTCTAATAAATCCTCTATCTATATAAAGATTCGGTCTATAAATTATGTCACTCTAGAGAACCACGACTAAGACAGATGGGGATTCGTGGAAGGGAAGATGAGGGCTAAGAGAAGGTAATGAGAGGAGTGGATACGTAAAAGGTACCACTAAGTTGTACTTAGATTATGGTGTGTTCACAGAGGTATGGCTGTAGACACACGATGTATTAGAGGAGAAATGTGACTCTGAAACACTGCGCTTTGTGGACTCAACATAAACACATAAGAAAGTTTTAAACACCAGAACACAGACACTGTTGCTTGTGGGGGAGGCTTGCCCCCTTCCTTCCCTGGGGGGTGGGGGTGGGGGGATCTCTCAGAGCTACTCAGCGGCTCCCTTCTCATGAGGTTTTGATGATAGCCTCAAACAACCACAGCAGGTGTCTGGGACACAGATGCTTCCTCTCTGGTTAAAGAGGTTGAACATCCAAAATCATGTTCTTTGGTGCCAAGCAGTGTGCTCCCAGGGTGGCTGTCCCTGAAGAGACCAGAGAGGAGAGGCTGTCCACCCCTTGTTTCCACACTTGGTGGAGGCTGCTGTTACCCTTGTCCCCTATCCATCGCCCCCATCTCTGCCTCCAGAGTCACATGGCCTCAACCCTGAACTGGTGCCCCACCTCCCTGTGCTTTTCCCTTAGAGAAACACTTGTGATTGAATCTGAAGGCCATTCATAATGCAGGGTGGTCCCCACTGGGCAAAATCCTTCACTCAGTCACATCGACCAAGACCATTCATAGGAGAAAGGAAACATGTACAGGTCGCAGGCAAAGGTCGCTAGGTCTGGGCTGCCCTGTCGCCATGCCCCAGGATGCCTGTCTGAACCACCCTCCTTCATAATTCCTGTTTTCTTCCTCCCTCCCTCCCTCCATCCATCCACCCTTTCCCCCCTTCCTTCCCGCGTATATGCATGTGCATGTATTTGTGTATGCAGTGTTCATGCAGGAGTGTGTGTGTGAGGGCCAGAGGTTAATGTCAAGTGTCTTCTCTGCCTCATTAAATCTTTTTAAGATTTATTATTTTATTTTATGTGTATCACTGCTTTGCCTGGGTGTGTATGTGTACACCACCTGCATGCCTGGTGCAGGTCTGAAGAGGATATCAAGTCCCTTGGAACTGGAGTTGTGGAAAGCTGGGGGCCACCAAATGGGTGCTGGGAATTGAACCTGGGTCTACTACGAGATCAATAAACGCTTTAAACCACTGAGCCATCTCTCCAGTTCCTAACCCTCTTTTTTTTTTTTTTTTTTTTTTTTTTTTTAAGACAGAGTCTCTCACTGAATCTGGAGATAACCAATTAAGGTAGAATGGCTGGCCAACAAGCTCTAGGGCTCCTCCTGTCTCTGCCTCCCTAGCACTAGGATTATGCACAAACACTGCCATACTCGTATTTTTGTGCGTGCTGTGAATCTGAACACTTTGCAGACTGATCTATCTCCACAGCTCTTCCCTGTTCCTCTCTGCCTAGGTCTCTCAGGTCTCTTTGACATCTGATTGCTGGGTTTTCCTGTGTTCTCTGCAGTCAGGAAGAATCAGGCCACCTGAAGTCCTGGTTCCTCTTCTGTGAGCTGAAAGCTGTTGACGCTGCAGCTTCCCCAGTCCCTATGAAGCTTCGCCTGCTGGAGCCCTCTCCTTCAACGACTCACGGAATCCCAGGCCCCCAGCTGGCATGCTGCTGCTCCTGCTCTGGGTATGTGGATGGGCATGTGGAAACGACTTTCTTCTCCCTGCAGAGTCCATGTTTACAGACGAGGAATACAAGTTGGAACTGGAGTCCAGCCTCGTGACAGTGCAGGAGGGTCTGTGTGTCTTCGTGCCCTGCACATTCTTTAATCACTTCAGGGTCTCAAATTTAGATACCACCGTCTTCGGCTACTGGTTCCCTGGAGGGGCGAATACAGACCTTGATTTCCCAGTGGCTACAAACAACCCAAATAAAAAAGTGCAGGGGACTCAGAGCCAATTCCATCTCTTTGGGGACCCGAGGATCTACGACTGCTCACTGCATGTCAGAGATGCACAGAGGAGCGACAGCGGTTATTACTTCTTCAGAATGGAAACTGATACCTTTAAGTGGAATTTCCATGAGAATCCATTCTTTCTGAATGTGACGGGTAAAGTACTGGCTCCATGGTGACCACAGAGGAGGTTCATGGATGCCATAATGCAGGGCTGGGATCGCAAGCCTGAGAGTCACGGGGGATGGAGCAGGGTAATGGAGGAGCTGGATCCGAACCTGGGCTGGGCTGGGCTAGGCTGGGCTGGGCTGGGCGCTAGGCTGGACTGGGCTGGGCTGGGCTGGGCTGGGCGCTGGGCTGGGCTAGGCTTCTCCTCCCCTGTCCTGATCCGGAATGTCTTTCTGGCATTGCCAGCCCTCAGTCACACCCCCAACATCGACATCCCACAGAGGCTGGAGCTTGGCCATCCCAGCAAAGTGACATGCTCTGTGCCCTGGGCCTGTAAGGAGGGAACACCTCCCATGTTCTCCTGGACGTCAACTGCCCCCATATCCCTGGGCCCCAGGACCACCTTTTCCTCAGTGCTGACCCTCACACCCAGGCTCCAGGACCATGGCACCAACCTTATCTGTCAAGTGACCTTCCCTGGGGCTGGTGTAATTGTTCAAAAGACTGTCCAGATCAACGTCACCTGTGAGTTCAATCCAGGGTTGGGCTCCATGTCATGGGTCATAGTTGGGTGGGAACTAAGATAAATGCAGGCCCCATAACCCTCCCATGCTATGCTTTCTGGGCAGTTATGGGGAATGGTGCTGAAACCTGAGACACTAAGTTTTTTGTTTCTGTTTTTTGTTTTTCCAAGATACTACGCTGAACACCACAACCCACGACTCTAAAGGAGCTGACCCAGGTAGGGGGAGTCATCTGGTGTTGGAATAACAGGGTCTCTGTAGCTCAGAGCAGGGTCCATCCTTCCTTATCCTGAACACAAAGACCCCCTTCTTAGAAAACGGGTTAGCTTTCCCATGCACAGTACATGCCAGAGCACCTGTCCCTACTGACTCCTCAACCCTTTGGGGCTTACTGAGGGACTCTGGGGTCATCACAGGGGTAGACCAGCACTCACAAAGCAGAATCCCACACTCCAGATGCTTTCAGTCCTCTGAAAGTGGATCTGCCCGAAACCTCAGCACGTGAGTCTGTCGGCTTGGATCTTCAGGTGCATGCAGGACACACGGTCATATGGGCAAACATTCTCGGAAGTTCGGTCCCCTTCTCAGGACAGACCAGTGACAACACACAGTACTGAGCTCTCGGTGGTCCACATGTAGCCTGAAAGGACTCGGGATATCAGTAGCCTATCGGTTTTTGTTCTCCATGACTCTGGTCCACACTGGTTGGATCCATTTCTGTGGACATTTTGTACTGTTGGGCAGCCAACCCATTGATGTCATTCTGCCAAAAGCCATGCGCAGTGAATAGTTGTGTGTGTGTGTGTGTGTGTGTGTGTGTGTGAGAGAGAGAGAGAGAGAGAGAGAGAGAGAGAGAGAGAGAGTTACTAATTCCCAAATACAAACTGCATCTGGATCTGGTGTCTTTCTGATATAAAGAATGATGGCCAAGTGGTTCTTCACGCTGCTGAACAGTAAAACATTCCCAGCAGGGAGCTAGGAGAGTGTATACTTCCACTGACTAGGTGGAGCAAACCTGTTTTGTTTTGTTTTGGGTCCTGTGGACTAACCCTAGGATGAGCATTGACCCACCACCCCCTGTCACTGGAAATCTTTTGGATGTTATCAGGAGAAGTTTGGTATTGCCTTGGGCTTATTTAATGCCTTTTGACCAGACATAAAGACAAGGAAAATGTAGGGAATGGGGAGAAATCTCAGTGAGTAAAGTTCAATTCCCAAAACCCACATTTCACACACACACACACACACACACAGAAGGGGGAGGGACGAAGGGAGGGATGGGGGGAGGGACAGAAGGAAGCTGGGTATTGTGGCATGTGCTTATAATTCCACGCTGGGGAGAAGACAGGATCACTGGCCATTCAATCTGGCTTAACCTGATTGTTAGCTAGATGGTAACAAGGTGAGTCACAGGCCCGTGAGCAACCTTATCTCTACTTGGCCATTTGATTCTTTTCTGAGAAGCATTATGCAACGATTATGTAACTATCATGAGCTGGGTTGTAGAGACCTTCTACTCTATCTTTGAGGAAAGGCCTCACTATGTTACCAGGCTGGCCTCAAGATAGATATAGGTGTAGATATTCATATAGACATAAAACTGCCTCAGTCTGCTGGGGGCTAAGATTAAAGGCATTTGAGTTCCTCATAATTTTAAGCTGTAAAAGTTCTTTTTGTGTGCTTGAAAACAGCCCACTACCACAACATGCAAGCATGTCCCCAGGTCTGTAAGTCCTTGGTATTTTCAATTGCAACTGCTGATTATGATTTTTGATGCATAAACTTGCTATGTAACCCAAGCTGGCTTTGAACCCATATTCCTATTGCTTCATCCTTCTGAGTAGTAAGCTTGCAGATGGCCACCATGCTTCCATGATGGAAGCTTTAATTATGAAAGAAGGTGATTTTTTTTTTCTGATGTATTGTTGGCAACAGGGTGAGGGAGTCAGGGAGGCTTGGGCTAATGCAGTCTCAGGTCTGGGATGCTAATGAGAGAGGGTAAACTCTGTCTAGGATTCACAGTAAATTCAGGTCCATCCACCTTTCTTCAGGGAAATCAGGGCCCCTGTCAGAGGTGGTGGTAGTGGCAATAGGAGAGGCAGCTATCAAATTCCTGCTCCTTGGGATCTGCTACCTCTTCCTCGGGTGAGTGTTGCTCTTTGGACAAAGCAGAGGTGTGAGGAGGGCAGGCGGGTGGAGACACCAGACTGAATCTCAGGTTACTAGTGCTGGAAGGTAAGATGGGGATCTTGAGGTTTGGTACCCAGGCAGGGAGCTCATGGCCACTGACTGACAAGCTGGGGGAGTGTATTAGTGAGAGTTCTCCAGAGAACTAGGACTGATAGAATGTAAGTATACACACACACACTCACACTCACACACTCACGCGCACACACTCACACTCACACACTCACGCGCGCACACACACTCACACACTCACACACACACTCACGCACTCACACTCACACACTCACACACACACTCACACTCACACACACTCACACACACTCACACTCACACACTCACACTCACACACTCACACACACGCACACACTCACGCACATTCTCTCTCTCACACTCACACACTCACACACACACTCACACTCACACACTCACACACTCACACACATTCTCTCTCACACACACTCACACTCACACACTCACACTCACGCACACACCCTCACACTCACACACACACTCACACTCACACACACACACTCACACTCACACACTCACACACACACACATTCTCTCTCTCTCACACACACACATACACACACACACTCACACTCACACACTCACACACACACACACTCACGCACATTCTCTCTCTCACACACACATACACACACACTCACACTCACACACTCACACACACACTCACACTCACACACTCATGCACACACACACTCACGCACACACTCTCTCTCACACACACACACATACACACACACTGGACTTATTACAGTGGATTATAGGTTATAATCTATGGTCTGACTATTCCAACAAAGACCGACAGAAAGTCCAAGAGTCCAATATTTGCTCAGTCCACGAGGCTGGATGTCGTCAGCATGACAGCTAAGAGCTCAAGGAAGAAGGTTGTCTTCCACAGCTGGGGCCTGTGGTCTGGGTGTCTGTCTCTCCCTCAGCCACCCTCACAGCCTACCACCAGGACTCCAGGGAGGTGGCTGCTGTACCTGATTCCCTACATTGTCCACACTGAAGTCTCTGGTCTCTTAACTCAGCATGAAATCCCAAAGGAGGAGAGTGGAGAGGCCATCCGCACAGGTGGATTATGAGGACACTGTCATGGCTTAGTCTCTCAGGTGAGTGAGGTGGGATCCCAGCATTTGATGGCCTTTGGGGCTCTTCCTTGTGAGGAGCCTGAAAAACTTCTCCACCCCGATAATGCAGCAATCCAAAGCAAACTGAATTAGAAAAGGCCCACATTTAATGCTCCTGGGTGGCCTTCCAGTCCCCCAGAGAGGAGGTGGGAAAGAGAGACGGGAAAAACCATGAGTCTATTCTCTGGGGGAACAGTTTAAATACCCTATGGGAGTGATCTTGAGCATCTCTGAGGAGAGGGGATCATCATTTGGCGGGCTTTCTGAGATATATTAGGGTTTGGAGGGAGATAGGGCAGGATGGCTTGGGTGGAACCTCCACCATAACATCCCAGACTCTTTGGGTGTATTGATGCCAGGGGCTGGAGCAAAGCTTTTACTCTAACAGAACCCAATGCGAGCTGGCTTACCATGACCACTGGTGACCTGCCACCCTCCTCTGAACCCATATCTCTGCTGTGTCCCACGATGCCCCTGAATCAGCAGCCTCATGTCTTTCCAGACCAGGCTGTGGTTTTCAGCTATCACCTCTCTCCACTCTTCACCCCAAGACCCATACTGACCCCTTTATTCACCCAATCTTGATTATCCCTGAACCTTTCCCTGCTCACTAAATGTCTCTCACCTCCTGCCTCTGTAACAGGACCCCAGAACTTAGTAGGCCTCCCCGACCTTAGCACAACTGACTCCATGATAGGAGTATCAACCAGGCCATAAAACTAATTATATGGTCAGTACCACCTACCAAAATGAAAACAAAGTTTTCCATAGTTACAGGAAACTCTCCAAAAGTACTAACCTTGCATTTGGCTTCTGCAATTCTGCTTCTGGCTAACTGTTCTTATTGACCAAAGTATGTCAAACCAGAACAGTGTTTTTGTGCTTAAAAGCTCACACTGAGAAAGCCTTGAAGCTACACTGGGATCCCAGATACCCAGTGTAGTCTCTGGCCACCAACATAGATTTTTATGTTGGCTTAAACCAAACAGTCTTCTCTAGTGGATACCTCACAACAACTCCTAAGATCCCCAGAGACCAGACCTTGAGTTTCTCAGACCAAGGTTTGTTACACCTAGCACAGGATGGCTCAACCACATTCCAGTTTTGTGCCTAAGTAAATCCAAACCAGAGAGCCCTTAGCTAGGAAGAGTTCCGAATGAGAGACCAGCACCCTGGTGTACTCTGAGAAACTGACTTCATGGAAATCTGGCCTGCCAGGGGAAGGTAAAAATAGGTGCCAGTTTGTGGACAGATGCACTCCCCACCCAGACTGAAACCGCTCAGATGGTAGCCTAAAAGCTTCTCCGAAAACTGGTTCCCTGATTTGGCCTCCTCGTAGCCAGTGGCTTTCATGGCCAAAATCTCTCTATAAATAGCTAAGGCCTTGGAAATAAATTGAAAATGTCATTGTGCATATAGAACTCAGACCTGGGAAGGTAGAAAACAAGAAATAAACAGGATGTTAAAAAAAATAAATAAAACTAACAAAACTCTCTTTGGAACCCAGCAAAGGGTGGATAGACCTCCTTCCCTAGCTTTGCATGGGCCTTCCTTAGCTTTGCTTCAGGCACCCCACATAGGGAGGGATTTACCACACACACACACACACACACACACACACACACACACACACACACACACAGGATTACATTTGGAAGACCTCCCCCACAGCTTCCCGGGCTCAGAGACCATCAGTTGGCAAAACTCTCTAACCATGTCTTTCTCAAGTCACAACAGGCCTCCCAGTCCTCCAAAAAGAGCACTCACGGAGCCATCAGAAAGGCCCAGCTGACCTTCGAGTTCCAGATTTTTCTTGTTGCAGTCTGCTGATACTCCCTGGCTCAAGTAGGTAGCCAAAGGGGCACTGGAACCAACTTGGAAATGACCCTACAAGGTGATTCTCTTCATCCCTGTGCTGTGAAGGTAGCCGGCATTACACAACGGATCCACCACACCCAGGACAAGAAAGCGCAAGCCACGGATGATGGTGCCGAATGAGTGTCTCTGGACCATGGACTCATTGAAATTAAGGCTGTTCCATTCCCTGCCCCTCTACCTCCTCCCAAGTCCCAGCTTTGTCCTATGGGTATGAGAAGAGGGTTATGGTCTGACCCCCATGGCCTTCAGGCCTGGACCTAGGAACTGAGAAAGACAGATACAGCAGAGGTGTTAGCTAGATGACCATAGACCAGCATCCCACAATCAGTGACCTTTGCTCACTGATAACCACTTTAAGTGTTTGGTTGTTGCAAATAAGCAAAAATTGGGGGTTTTATCTCTTGAGATAGGAATACAAAGTTTACAAGTCTATGCATACCCTGAGGCTGGGTCCCTTAGTTGCCAGAAACCAGGGAGTTTCCAATTCAAAAATTACAATTGTAAAGTTGAGGCTCCCTGGAAAACCCCTTAGAAAGATTTTGACCTTTGAAAACCTGGAGAATCACTCCCTGCCATCGGAAGGGACCCCGGGGATGAAGTTAATCATCCCCAGCCAGAAATCAGCCAGGACTGCTGGTTATGCTTTCTCAGCCCCTACTCTACACAGGGTAGGAACTAATCAGATTGTTCGCCCATTCGTTGACTGACAAAACTCACTGTGACTAGGGACAGCCCAAAATTAACATGAGAGGATTTACAAGAGACTAAAACTTGTCTAATATCTAACCTAGGCCCTCCCCCTTATTCTACTCGGCCTTCCGGGGTAACTCATATGGACTATAGGAATATTACCAGGCTCCTGAGACCACTTGGTGGGCAGGGCCAATGGTTTGACTAAATGTGCCTCTTCTGATGTTTCCCAGACTAAGTAGTCAGGTTGATCAGGACCTAGAGGTATTAAAAGTTTCTGTTCCTGGATTAAAACAACGGTTAGTTTCCCTTGCAGAAATGATCCTACAAAACTAGACAAGTTTAGACTTGCTGCTCATGAGATGAGGGAAATTATAAATGGCTTTGAAGAAGCCTATTGTTTTTACGCTAATTAATCAGAAGTAACTAGAAAAAAAAATCTTGTCATGGTTGGGAAAAAACTCAAAAAGAGACAAAATAATAATAATAATAATAATAATAATAATAATAATAATAATAACACCAGTCTCTATTCTCTTGGCCCCCTACCTACACTGCTATCAGCTCTGGCTGGGTCTTTAATTCTCATTCTGATTGGGTTAAGAGTAAGGGGTCCTGCATCTTAAACTAAAACAGGACAAGTCCATGGTTTTACTCATTCCCTAAGACCACAGGGAAACATAACAGGGCACAGATCTTAGCACAACTGACTCCGTTCAGGCCATAAAACTCAGCACGGTATCACCTACCAACATGAAAACAGAGACCTAATCCATCAAAGTCCATAGCTATGGGGCAGTCTCCAAAGGTACTAACCTTTCCCTTTGGCTTCTGTAATTCTGCTTCTGGCGAACTGTTCTTGTTAGCAGAACAGTGTCCGTGCGCTCAAAAGCTCACCCTGAAGAAGGCTCAGAGCCACATTGGGATTGCAAACACCCAGTGTACTTACTTGCTAGCCAGCTAATAAAGATTTTCTATCGTCTTAAACCCGCATCCAGGCAGTCTTCTCTGGTGGACACCCTGCAATACCTCCTCGCCTCCCTAGCACTGGCCCCCAGGATACCCTTGCAGATGCAACCATCACCCTCTCCTTCCGCAGTCTGAGCACTTTGTGTTCTTGCCATAAATAGAGACTGGAAAACATGGCACCTGCACTGTGACCTCTTGGTCTCTACACCCTGAGCCCTCCCATCCTTCGTGATGAGCCTGCCCCACCCTCCTGCACCAGAGACTGTGTGAACCCTGCTCCCTCTCCATCCCTGTTTGGGTCTGTCCTCATTCTAACCTTCCTCAGGCTCAGCCCGTGTATCACTGTGAGTAATGAGTGGGCAGAGGGCTGTGTGAAGGACTATGGTGGTGACTAATACTGAACTGCTACCAGGGACTAGCATTTCTGTAGGGCTGGAGATGTAACCCCCAACTTCTGTCAGGAAGGAACTGCCAAACTACAAATCATAACCGGCATAAAAGGAAATAACTAATTAGGACAAGTCAGAAGATGATGTGTGTCCATGGAAATCATGCAGGAGAGGGGCTGGCGACTCTGGGGACAATCTCTTAGTCTGAAGGCATCCGGGGCAGAAACAGCCTGCTTAGCTCAGCAGGTCGTGTGGGGAACCTGTGTTTGGTGCATCGGGTCACCTACAGAAAGAGGGAGGTAATTTAGAAGGGCAGGATGCTCAACAACAGGCCTTTGGGGTTCAGCCCTTGAAGAGACCAAAGCTGTGTGGATTTTCACTTTAACAGGACTCCATAGCAGCCCCGGGGAGAACCAGACAATTGTAATAGGGTTGTATTGCGGTGAAGAAACACCATGACCATGGCAACTTTTATAAAGAAGGCATTTAACCCCGGGTGCTTGCTTACATTTCAGAGATCTCATGACAGGGAGCATGGCGGTGGGCTAGCAGATGTGGTGCTGGCTATATCTTGGCCAGAAGTCATCAGGAAATTGACTGACACACTGGGCACTAACCTGAGCATCTGAAACCTCAAAGCCCGCCCCCACACTGACACACTTCCTCCAACAAGGCCACACCCACTCCAACGAAGCCACACCCCCTAGTAGTGCCACTCTCTGAAAGATTATGGGATTGCGGGGGGGGGGGGGGGCCAATTCATTCAAAGTACCACACAGATCCTAGAGCTGCAAAGGGAAGGGTATGAATATTCGTGGTTTAATACAGATCAGGAAAAACAGATAGGCCGAATAGATGTTTATTTATTCAGGGAGAAATAACTCACAACAGAGACTGATGAACACCAGCAGGTTCCTGGTCCCAAGGATGCCTCCGGATGCTCTCTGTCCCTGTGCTGTAAGCAAGAGAGCGTTCAGGGGCCCCTTCCCTGACCTAGTTCCCCCAGGTCATGTCAGCCCCTGTCCCCACCTCCAATGGGCGTGGTCAG